GTTGGACTTTCATTTAGGCGCTACACGTCACCTACTTCATCATCTTGTCTGAAAAAGTTTTTTAAAACTTAGTAATTGCATGTTGTACAGTTTTTTTGGTTTGTCTTAATCAGAGTGATAAAAGCTGAACCAAACGGATTATGCCATCACAATTCTTTCCTGACATTCCGAGTGGAATATAGAGCCTCAGTCTTTTTCAATTTCAGTAGCCATAGTGTTGTTTTTGCGGAATTCGGTTGCTAGCCTCATCTCCAACCTTCCCTTTTTTCCAGGCTTAACTGTCGGTTAGTAAACTAGACGAGGTCTAAGAGTGATCTAGCCAGAAATCGAATTTGGAGAATGTGGATGGTTGGCGACCTTTCAGTCATTGAACCAGTGAACCAAACAAAAGGTTAATTTAAGCTTAATAGGGATAATACAAACTTAATTCATATAAAAAGTGGAGAAACTTAACAGTATGGCGACAGTAAATTATTTGAGATAAATTTTCAAGTATCGGCTTTTGTAAGTATTTAGTTTGATTGGTTTAAGGATTACATCATGAGCTGGCAACAGTTAGAGAACCCAGTGACTTATTGGTCTACGAGCTCGCCTTCTAGCCAGAAGGTTCTGGGTTCGAAACCCTTTAGATTCGTACCAATAAAGAGTCCCAAATCAGCACGAATCAGCTGTGGGAGTGAACCCACACAGTCCAAACAGTCAAATACAGTGACAAAAAGTCCAAAAGCACACAAAAGAAACTACATGAAAACACTATTTAAAAGGGCTAAAATACATCGCAGTCCTGTGGTGAAAAGAGGAGAAAAATGTCCAATAACCAATACTTTCAAGGAAAATGGATCTTTTTAAAACAGTTCGCAGTTGGTCTTGTACACAAACCAACACAATCATTTAGTACTATTCAGACCACAGATCAAGTCTATCTGTCTAATTATTATTATTGTTCCCTTGGGTTCCTAGTGGAACATAGGTCTTCAACAACACGTCTCCACTTGTTTCTGTTTTCTGCTGTACTTTCCAACTGCTTCCATGTTAGTCCATTGTGTTTCAGCTCCTCTTCACACGATCTCCTCCATCTCACCCTTGGACGTCCAACTCGCCGCTTCCCTTTCGCATTCCACTGGAGCTATGGCCTGACGCGCGATGTCACCCAGCGAGTGTCCAATCCATCTCCACTTTCTCCTGCATATTTCTTGAGCGATTGGTTCTTGTTTTGCATGTTCCCATAGTTTCTTGTTGGTGATTCTTTCCGGTCATCTGATCTTCAGTATAGAGCCAGTGAAGACAGTTAGTTGTTGATAAAGGTGTGCAACAGGCTGTTAGAAATATTCTTTGTGACCCGCTGCTAAGTTTCTGATCCATCAGTATAGAAGAACTGACTGACTTGACTGACGTTTGTATTGAAAATCCGAATTTTGTTGTTGATGCTGAGTGACAAAGATTTCTAGATTTCATGAACTTCACCTAGATTACTAGCTCACTAGTTTTCTAGCCGGTCCTAGCCTAATAAATTGAATTAATTATACAAAACACCAAATGGTTAAAATCTATCTCGCCTTGGACTTCAATTTCAAGAGCGTAAACTAACCCTCAGGAGACATGACAGGTATTCCAACACATCAATGCATGTAGACAACTATGGGCTATGGACAGTTTGACGGAGAAGATATAGAAGCTCTAAGTGGTGGAAATAATACAAACGCCAGAGAACTTGCAAGAGCGTGGTGCTCAGATGTGAATATTCACTCAACTGACAAATGAATATAGAAAGAATTTTCCAACCAATAATGAGTGAAGGCGTCACATAGGAAGAAGGAAGCCGAATTCCAGTTGAATGAAATGATCAACTATCATACAATCATATTATTCATGGGTAACTCCAAAACACTCATTTTATGCTGACGACGGGCCAGTATGAGGAAATTAAGAAGCCTGTAGATACAATAATGAATAAGGTTAAGAAATCTACAGTGGAATTAATACGTAGAATGAAGCCGTCTCTGGGTAAGTCTAAATGGTTTAATTTAATGCCTAAAACTAATAATGCTAGTATGGTACTATTAAAATACATAAACCAGGTTACCCCATACGACTAATAGTAGATTTCAGAAATACCCCTACTTATGAATTATCAAAACACTTAGCTCTAATATTATGCCCCATTAGAAATCGTTCAATATCTAGACTAACTAATTCATATGAGATGAAAAATAAACTAAATGACATTCAACTAGACAATGATGAAACAATGGTTAGTTTTGATATAACTGGTCTTTATACCAATATACCAATCAATATGGCCTTGGAAGCAGTTAAAAAAGAACTAACTGCAGATATTGAACTCACTCATAGGACAAAGCTGCCCATTGAAGAAATTATTTTAGGAATTCAGTTATGTCTCACATCTACTATCTTTAAATTCCAAGGCAAAATATATAGACAAACTGAAGGTGTAGCAATGGGATCATCAATATCCCCTATTGTAGCAGACATTTTTACGGACAGCTGGGAAAATAGTGCTCTCAATACATTTAATCCTACGCCAAAAATATGGTGGAGATATGTGGATGACACATTCACAGTGTTAAAAACAGAACATATCTCTAGCTTCTCGACACACATAAACTCGCTAGTGGAGGGAATAAAATTCACATTTGAATCGGAAGATGAACAAGGAGAATTAGCTGTGATATTAGATTGTAAAATAAAACGAATAGAAGAAGGCAAACTACACACTAGTGTCTATAGAAAACCAACGCATTCTAATAGATATTTAGACTTTAATTCATCGCATCCTTTAACTGTTATGGCAGGCTTAGTGAAGTGTCTAACAAACCGAGCAATGGCACTAAGTAGCACAAAAAAGACCTAAATGATGAAATAAAACAGATGGAAGAGACGTTGGTGTTGAATAACTATCGTTTAAAATTCATTAGGAAGATCGAAAAAAGCCAAAATAAAAATAAAAATAATTGTGAAACTAGTAATAATAACATAAATAAGAGAGAATATAAGTCACCTACTGTTATTCCACCTAAGGAGGGGACATCTGAAACCCTACGTAGGATTCTAAATAAAGCAGGAATTAGGGTGGTGGCATTCAAACCTACAAACTCACTCAGGACAAGCTCTTTAGGTTAAAGGACCCTGTCAGTTGACCCAATTAGACAAAATAATATAATTTACAAAATACCTTGTAATGACTGTGAGGTCAGCTATATGGGTCAAACTAGTAGGACAGGAGTAATCAGATTGTCGGAACATAAGAATTCAGCCAAGGTAAGAATGGTTCACCCAGAGAAGATAAGTAATTTAGAAAAAAGCTCAGCAATTGCACTGCATGCAATAACACACAACCACACAATAGCATGGTGGGAGAGGGTTAAAATTCTAAAGAGTAACATACGTAGGTGGAGAGAGAGGTTGATTACTGAATCCTTGTTCATTGAATCTACACCCAACACATGCAGCAGAAATGACTCAATGCAAATACCAGGAATATGGAAGATATTATTACCACCAGTCAAATCAGAAGAGGATAATAAATAATCTCAAAATTCTATTTCAATTAAGCACATCACAACATTCTAACAAGTTACTTATTATGACTATAAAAACACTCATTTTATTTCACATCTGATTGTACCTGACCAATAACACTCCTATTATTATTTCTCAATGTACATTATCACATACTGTTTTTTATTCAAATATCTAGTCAATTCCACACATGTATATAAATGAAGGAAAAAGTTGTGTGAGTAACTTGATATGATTATGAGTGGCAATAGTTTGTGCTCAAAACGTTAATATTACTGTGTAACACTGTGTGATTTATCAAAATAAAATCCTATCCATAATAGGTTGAAGGTGTTATCTTAGAAGATGATGAATGCTTCACAATTAAATCATCCGACTCAGAGGAGACAACCACCACATCAAATAAATTCATACAAGTAATTTATATATGTCCAAGCCAAGTTCACTTTTAACAGTTTGAAAGAATTTGGGCAATGGGTATATGATATTCATTATAATAAAGGTTAGAGTTTTCTTTAAAACATCAGACACACTACGAAATAACCTTGTCCATATAAAAGACCAAAATCACTAAAGATTCTCTATCTAATTGTGTCTATAAAATAAAATGCTTGCTTTAAGTGTGATGCGATATACATCGGACAAACATCACGAGAAATCAAGAATCAGAAGAAATGAACACCGTAGAGCATCTTTTCGACCACTGAGAAATCCGGTTGAACTAGAAAAGCTTGAAAAATCATCAGCCATAGCTCGTCTACACGCTATTGAATCAGGTCACAAAATTGATTTTGACAATATTGAAATGATCCAGAAAAACTTCAGGAATCATAAAGAACGTCTAATATCATCAGAAGCACTTCATATCAAGTGGAATCCAAATGGATGGACTAAAACAGAATCTGACCTGGTTACTACACCTCCCTCCCCCATGAAGTGACAAAAGCAACACGAATGTGATATCCAAGTTCACTATGTAAACACACACTGCCTTTATAATTTTAAACACTGATTAAATCCTACAATCTACGCTTGACTTTGATTTTGTTATCTTTACCAAATGACCAACTTGACAACGAAAAATGACCCCAGACTGACGAACGATGATCAAGTTAGTAAACTTTGTTTTGATACCATAACAGATGTACTATTACCTTTGTTATTTGGTTTAGTGATCTTCATTGCTATTTTGACTTTCAATATGTCCTTTTAACTTGACCTAAGTAGTCTATTTTTTCACCTCTTAACTCTTTGTTATATGTATGCTGAGATTTGGTATATTCTGGTTTAATAATACCACTTTGATAAAGCTATTAGCATTAAATAGCGAAACGTCAGTAAAAGTGACAATATCGTTTTGTTTTTCATTCATTGGGAAATACAAAACGCCTTTATTATAATGAATACAAGTAATTTCATAACAAATCCATGGATTTAATAAAAATTAAAAAAAAACTTACTTTGCCAATAACCATCCTGGTCGAACATGTCGATCAGTAGCCCAGAGTAGGACAAGTCCAATGAATAATAAACCGATGCCAGTTATAACAAGTAGATAATGTGTGTCCAAGCAACAATAACATGCTGTAAAACGTCCAGTACCATTGTCAAAGTGTAAAGAAGTTGGCGGATTACTACTTTGACTAATATTCATGCCTGTACCTGTAGATGATTTTCTTTCACAATCATTCATACGAATTGACTGGTTAACAACCATAGTTTCATTGTAATTTCTGGTAGGAGATGTTGGAAATTCCTGTTTAGAGAAAAAGAAATATAAAAAAACAATGAAATCAATATATGTGTAAAACTTGGGCACTGTGGTAGTAAGTAATTCCATATTAGTTTGTTTATTTGATATATCACACAGTGGAACAGTATTATTTACTGGATGACTATGTTTCGAACAAAATTTATTGTTCATAATCATATCATCAATTGTAATCACACGACTTTGAAACTTGAGTTCTGTAGTTTACTTTGTCTTCTCCTATATGTCGTCGTTGGGGTAGTAGAATTTTCCAGATATCTGGGTGGACAGGTGATGAATCATTCCTATTACATGCATTTGTAGTTGACTCGATAAACAAAGCTTTTGTTGACATCAATCTTTCCCTATACCCTGTGACATTAGATTTTAAAACTGTCATCCTATCCCATCCTATTGTATGGTTGTGTGTAACTGCATGTAGTGAGTGTTGTAGCTGAACTATTGTCTAGATTTCTTATCTTATTCGGGTCAACCAATCTAGATTTTGCTGCTGGGTTTTTATGTTCAGCTAGTCTGACTGCCCCTGCCTGTTCTACTAGTTTGACCTATGTATTTGACCTGACAATCATTGCAGGCATGGTATTAGATAAACTAAACTGTTTTGTTTAACTGGCTCCACAGGATTGATCCTTTAACCGACAAAGCTTGTTTCTAATTGAGTTTGTGTGTTTGAATGCCAGCCATTTTTATTCTTGCCTTGTTAAGAATTCTGCGTAAGGCTTACGAACAATAAATTATGAACAATAAATTTTGTTCGAAACGACATCTATTAAATAATACTGTTGCACTGTGTGATATATCTAATAATGAAATCAGTGTATGTAGATATTAAGGCTTATTTTGTTGCATAAGGCAGGCGGTTGGTATGAAAAAAGCGGATGCATTCCGTACACTTTTAGGCATGGAATGTACTCCCTCTTCAAGAAGGAACTAATGAATGAATTAATTTTGTTTTCCTCTCCTCTGATTTAAATCTTACACATGAGTGGTATATCGAAATTTTAGGGTTCAAATTTTGTGAAAGACTCAATAAAAAAAGGTGGATATTATTTTCCGGAGAAATAAACGTGCGATTTAGAAATCTGTCAATGTGTAAACAGTCAAAAGCCCCCAAGAAGAGCACAAAGAAAATCACCCTACAATACATAAAGGACATCTTAGAAATCACTTCAAGACCCTTCAAACCTTTTGGAATTGGCGCCGCACACAAACCAACAAAATCACTTCACTCAGCTGGCTCTGTGTCAACCAAATGACTCAACAGCGAAAGAAGACAAAACCAACATCATCTACAAAATAAATTGTAATAAAGACATGACATCCACTCACTCCCTCATTTCGCTGCATACAGACAACCACGAACATCAGTTCGATCGGGACAATGTTCACATATTAGACAGAGGAAACAACAAGAATGCTAGAGAATTTTTTGAAGCCTGCCTGATATTCCAGTGAATCATCAATCAATAGACACATCGAGATAGACAAAATTTACCAACCGATAAGAAAGAAATCTCCCACACAAAGGGTCAAAGTTCAAGTCAAAGAAACAATGAGTGACAATACAAGTAACCTAGAAGGTGTGAAAACACACAAAAGCAACCAATCACGTTCAAAGTCACCAGGAGAGATAACTAATAAACTCGTGAAGGAATCTAACAGCTGACTTCAAATTGAAGTATGCGCTGAAGATGTCACCTAGTAGGGCAATAAAAGCTTCTCAAATAAACTATCCAGCTCAGAATACACACTAATAATATCAAACCAATCTGTGATAAAAGCTGTAATCAGCGGGTAACTTGATTCAGAGGAGAATAAACAAAAAGTTGAGAGAGATGAAATAATGTTGGGGCAAAAAGCAACTGAATCAAGAACCAAAACAAACTGAAAAAACTATATACTACTGATTGTTCGAAATGAGTAGTTGCATGCCACTCATATGAAGCATTAGTACTTGCCAGTTAGATCAAGGTGATCTAAACACTGGCGACCATTTCGCCTGTTTGCCATCGAGCACTCCGGTGCTGAAGAGAACGGGAGAGAAATATCTACCGTCTGTCCTCAAGAAGAATGAATACTCGAATGCTTGAGTAGAAATACCAACAAGAAACCATGCTCAAGGACCACAAGAAAATTCATTTTACCATATGTAAAGAATATCTCTGAAATAACGACCAGTATAGTGATACCATTTGAACTAGACATAGCGCACGGGCTCACACGATTACTTTATTCTATATTGCGCGGAGCAAAGGATCCAACAGCCAAAGAAGATATACCTAATACCATTTACAAAAGTAAATTTCATGAGCTGCAATAAATACTCAAAATTGGTCAAAGTGGGTGTCCCCTTCCTTCAACTCAGAATACAAGATCATAAATTAGCTGTGGAAAGATATCACACGTGCTTTCTTCATATCAATGCATGTAGATGGTCACTGACACTAATTTGGTTGATTGGAAGCATGCAGAAATTTTAAACCGTGGAAAGGCGCCAGAGAATTTCTAGAAGCCCAGTACGCAGATTTATCCGCAGTTAACAAAATAGATTACTATCGAACAGATCTACCAGTTAAAAAAATACATCACATGGCAAAAAGTTCAGACTCCAAGTCATTAAAAATGATCAATAGAGACGTAAATTAACAACCAATCACAACAATGGTTGTCAAGAGATACAGCTATACCGTTCTTGTAGAATTCAGACGAGTTCACTTTATATTAAAGGCTACGCTGCAGATATTACCTGGAATGACAGTGAAGGTTTCTCAGTTAAACCATTCAGTTTGGAGAACACAAATGAATCAAAATAGCCCACTTGAGCTACAAATCTTCTTTATTATTTCACCGAAACTGTCTTAATTTTATGCGTGTTGGCAATACATATATTCTGTATTTTAGTCAACGCAAGAACTGGCTCGGAATTATGCTCCTGTCCATCCCAAGCAAAATACTAAGCCGCATCATCCTGGAGAGAATCAAACATACCCTGGATGAAAAACGTCGACCGGAACAGGCTGGATTCAGGAGAAACAAGTCATGCATTGATCAGATCGCCACATTACGGACCATCATTGAACAAAGCTTGGAATGGCAGTCACCTCTCTATCTCAACTTCATCGACTTTGAAAAGGCCTTCGACAGACAGCGTTGATCGAGAGGTGATTTGGAAACTACTACGCTACTATGGGGTGCCACCGACAATTATACATCTCATCCAACAGCTGTACGACAATGCTGCACGCCCAGTAATCCACAACGGGAAACTTACGGAATCCTTCGAAGTGAGGACAGGAGTAAGACAAGGCTGGCTACTATCGCCAATGATTTTCTTGATTGCAGTAGACCGGATAATGCGACAAACAACGGCGGGCAATGAGGAAACAGGCATAAATTGGACTCACAAAAAAAGAGACTTGGAGGATCTGGACTTCGCCGATGATATATGTTTGATTTCCCACAAACTGGAAGATATGCAAGCGAAAAGCAACAAATTGGGAGAAGAAGCATCCGGAGAAGATAGGACTTCAGGTGAACATAGAGAAAACACAGGTGATGAAGATTCCTGGCCAACACCACCAACAGCAACAACAACAACAGACAAGAATCAGCCAGCGTAAATGGGAGGAACCTGAAAGAAACAACCTCCTTCACCTACCGACCTGGGAAGCATCGTTTCAACTACAAGACAGCGGAACTGACGAGGATATCAAAACAGCGACGATCGGAAAAGCAAGACAAGCTTTCACTACTCTCAAGTCTGTGTGGAGGTCAACAGCCCTACTCAGCATCAAAACGAAGATAAGATCCGGATTTTCAACTCCAATGTGAAGTAACTGCTACTATACATATGGACCACAGACTTGCACTCCGCCTCATAAGCAGCATCTCAAACAAGCTACAGACCTTCATTAACAGTTGTCTTCGCTCAGAACTTCGCTCAAGATCAGATAGTCGGCCAGAAAACATCAGCAACAGAGAGGGATCTCTGGCAATGAGCAGACCAACTCAGCAGGAACCGGTTGTGAATCAAATAGGCAGGCAGGAAGAAATGGAGATGGATTGGCTGGCCATACTCTGAGGAAACAAACCATCAAGTGATATCACTACATAAACCATTGCTCGAGTGGAACCCGACTGTATTGGAAGCGGTGAGTTGGTCGTCAGTCCGAGGATGGGGTGAGTTGGAGGAGGTGATGTGAAGAGGAGATGAAAATGTGTGGGCAGACTTGGAGCCATGTGAGGACTCTATCAGAGAACCGAAGGCAATGGAGACGCGTGGCTGAAGCCCTATGTTCCTCTAGAAATTAAAGGATACTGTAATAATAATAAATTAGTCCTTACAGGTCATTGTCTGTCACCCGATATTTTCTCACTCGAGTAAAGCAGAATGTACTTGACAGAGAACAGTTGTTTTCAGTATTTTAGTCGAGTTACTTATTGATTTTAAATTCGTTATGTTCCTTCGGACTCATATATTTCAGCTTACCTTTATTGTTATGACATGACAACATCAGAATCGGTGGGTCAGTGATAGAGTACTCGTGAACCATACACGTGGTTTGGGTTCGTTTCCAGCCAACGGGCTACTGAACATGGCCTAGCCTATAGTCAAGTTCCGTAAAGATGTAAGCTTGAGGCGTGAGGCTAGAAATTCGACTTTGTAAAAAGTCATTGCCGATATTGAAACTCCAAAGTTCAAGCATGAAGTCCACTGTTTCACTTAGAATGAACACATAGTAATGATAAATAAAGAGTTACTTAGAACTCCAGTTTCTGTACATTCCCTAATAAATAACAACACTGTCATCAGATATGAACTACCGAGTCCCCAAGAAAAGAAAAACAATAGCATAGGCATCTTAAAAATAGAAAAACCTTCGAAAAGAGTAAAATACGACATACATTTGACACTGAATGGTGATTAGATTCACGTATACTTGATGAACACGATGTAGGATGCAGAAATGGTGTAGATCCTACTGGCAGTGGAATCCGTTTAGGTGATCTTATATTCTGTTGAAGTTGATAATGATAATTGGATGGATGACTTGGAGATGTCGAGTGTTGTTGTTGCTGTTGCTGTTGTTGTTGTAATTGTGACTGCGTTAGAGATAACGATTGAGACTGTCGGTGCTGTTGCTGCTGCTGCTGAATAGTTGGAGAATCGAATGATTCAATCATGACTTGTGAATTCTCATGTAGTGAATGATTTCCACTGACTAATCGAGTATCACCAAACCAGATATTATGCATAAAATTAAATGTTTGAAAGCATCTGGCTAGTATAATGATAGCGTCTAATAAAAGTAGCAGAAGACGAACTTGTGTAAGTGTCAGAAAATAGGCATTTGTATCACTCGACATGAGACTGCCGCTTTTCTTTGTCACAGCTGTTGCGAATCTGTGATATAAAGGAAATGAAAAAAAAGGAAGGTAACACTGTGAATAAAATGCCAGATGTCTGTGGTACATAATTATATTTCGAGGATAGCTCTAGTAGCCAGCCATACTTACGGTAGCATGAGAAGACATAATTTGTCATTATCACTTTAGAATAACACATTTAAGCGAACAGTATTGTGTTTTCAATTAGATCTCATCAGGCTTAACTCTAATACATATATAAGTTTACAAATAAAAACTCAAATATAAACCAATCATGGTGTTTTGTCTATAGGATAATACGATGGTGAATATAAATTGTGCAATTAGTCATAATAGTAGTAATGATAATAATGATAGTAATAGTAATAATAAAAATGGTCTTATCAATAATAAGGATGAAAAAGTGAGGCAATCTGTGATAACACGAATAATGAAAAAAACAGTATGATTAAACAAACAACTGTTCAGGTGGAAGTAGTTGATAAAGGCTAGTAAAAACAAATGAACCGATTGAGTAATGTTAGATTGTAAGGGAAGGAAATGAAACACGTTTATAATGAAGATGTGATGAGATTAAGAGATGATAAGAAAGGGGTTGAAAATATAAACAAGGGGTGGTGTAGAAGTCATTAGTTGGTTATGTCTTAATATGCTAACAAGGGAGGGATAATGGCTGTGCGAACGTCTTTTGAATACATAGTTTAGGTGTGATAGTTCGAATGCCTATCGCCTGCCTCAGCTGTGTGCAATAAACGAATACGAAGTCTATTTGAAAGATTCGGTGGGATACGATGATTCACTTTGAAGGCTCTCGTTTTCTCGATTACATGACCACTATCAATTAAGTGTGACAAAATTGAGCTAAGGATTGTTTTTATTTGTCCTTTGCCAAACCACGATGGAAGATGTTCACTAACACGTTGGTTAAGCTGTCTAGTAGTAGTGTGCCCAATATAACTGTCACCGCAGGTGCAGTTGAATCGATAAATGCACATAGATGTGGCAAAACTATCAAGCTTATCCTTCGTTTGCGTCCCAATCATTCGTTGGCTAGAGAATGACAATCATAGGTGTACTGCATAAAATGTTCTTCGTATACTCCTTGAAAGTCTTTGGAATAGAATCTCACTTGATAAGTCACCAATAAATTGTAACTTAATAGATAGAGGTTTCTTACGTGCAGTCAGAATTTCCGGTTTGTCCTCCGATATTTTCATATATTTCTTTATGAAACTACTCGGATAGCCAATCTCCGAGGAATATATTCAAATTCCTTTTGTAAGAGGTCATCGCTACATATCTTTCTTGCTCTGCTCGCAAGACATTTTACAACATTCCTTTTATATTTAATGGGCACGTAACTAAGGAATTGTGTGTATTGCCCTGTGAAAGCGCTTTTTCTGTACACGCTTCTCCCAAGTGACCCATCTTCTCTCCGACTTAGCAAGACATCACTTTAGTGTCTAATTAGTTTTAGAATAAGTAGTATTAATTCCGTCAGTCAGTATTCGCCCTGGCGCCTGACACAGTGGACTCCACTGCTAGTGATTGGCTACTGGTAATAAGTCTACCTGGTCGAGCTGGTGGTTGGACTAATGTCAAAAATTGGTAGAAGTTAAAATTCATGGAACATTGGACAGGATCCCATTGGGTGAATGGTCTATGAGCTCGCCGTGTAAAGGGAAGGTCCAGGGTTCGAAATCCGGTTGGTGCGTACTGACGATGACTCCCAAACTGTGACGAAGCAGCCACCCAGTACCCTGTTGTTTACAGTAGATCTCAAACTGATATCGATCAGTAAAAAGTTTGAGCATTGTGGATTAGATCAAATAAAGTATAATTATATTTCAATAGTTTACACACAATGATAAGTTTTGTTATTGGTAATATTTCGAGCAAAATTACTACCCGTGTTCACACCACTGTTGGAATTGTTTGATTCACACATTTATGATTTGTACTCTTTTATATAGTTCATTATTTTTGCTCATTCATATTTTTTTTGTATTTGAGTTGTATTCCACGTTCATTCATGTTTTTGTATTCAGAATTCTATTCCAAGTTGTTGATAGTTTTACTGAGTCACCCTTGTTACATGTATCCGGTGTGATTTTAATGACTATCCAGTCAAATATTGATCACAGTTCATATGAACTGTCGATTCTGTTATAAGTCTTTCTTTCCATTTGTTCATGTTAGTTTTTAGAATACACACATTGTTCCAGCCGACAACATTTTAGTGATGACCTGAATGGCTTAAGGGCATTCTCTTCCCAATAATCCATGAATATGTCAGCTATTATTGGTGAGATAGGCGATCCCATGGCTACTCCTTCATTTTGTTGGTATATTTTCCCTTCGAATGTGAAATATGTTGTTGTCAGACAGAATTCCACCTCTTTTATTATCTCTTCTACGGATAACTGTGTTCTGTCTTTTAGACCATTATCTTCTTTTAGTTTCTCTTTTAGTGCATTCATGGCCATTTGAATGGGTATTTTCGTATACAGACTGCTTACATCAAAGCTGACTAGTATTTCATCTTCCTCTATTTTAGTGGATTTTAGTCGCTTCATTAATTCAAATGAATCTACTATTCTAGCTTTTGAGTTGTCTCTTGTTGGTCTTAGTACTGTCGAGAGAAATCTTGATAGTATATACGTCGGTGTGTTTCTAAAGTCTACAATCGGCCTTATTGGATATCCCTCTTTATGCAATTTTATCTTGCCATATATTCTATGTATATTACATGATTTTGGTATAATTTCAAATATAATTATACTTTATCTGATACCAATCCTTAATCAAACTTGAAATAAATCAAATTCTTGCAAATTAACTCTTGAAAAGTGATATGAAACTTGATCCTTCGTGTAGAATGAGTTTAGGCTGTTCACAGGCAATTTTATACAGCAGGTATGAGAAATATCTGAATAGTTGTTTCTGTAGAAAAGAGTGTCAAATCCTCAATGTATTCTCTTTTCAAAATATTCTATTCAACCAACTGGAGGAAAATATTCTTCTTCATAAGGCCAAATTTACAATAATTTTTAGATGGGCTTTAGAAAAGCCATCAAAAGAAACTCACTCCAAGTTTGCATTCACAATTTCTTCCTAATTTTAGAAATATATTTCCATTTGATATTCTTATAACTCTTTAGTCTACTTAATTACATAAATTCCAATATTCAACTGTTGTCATTTCAACAGGGTTTACAATGGAAACTCATTTATTAGGGAATCAGTCACGTATGTCATTGTGAATACCGGTGGGAGATGATTTTGAAACATGTTTTTAAATGCCTGTATAATAATAATAGCTTTATTCCAAACAGTATTTGTGGTACAGATATGGAATTTTCAGCGTGCAATACAATATTGCATCTAATTACCTCATAAATTTTATAAGATTTTTAAAAAATAAAAAGCAACAACAACAAAAGAATAAAAGAGAAATAAAAGAAATGAAAAAAAAGAATAGCATTACATTCACATATTTAAACAATGCACCACAGGATATGAAATATAAAATTAGTGTGTAATAGAATATGTGAGCAACAATATAATAGTAACAAAGAAAGGAGAACAAAAGCTAATAGAAACTATTTGTTAGAGTGCCTCAGTAAGTTGATCGTGTCATGCCTAATAGTTTTCTCATCACATAACAGCTGTGCCAGATAAGGTATTGTGGAGTTTTTATACTTGGTAGTCCTGGCAATATAGCGTCCTATAGTTGCTTCTAGTTCTACCAGATGAAATGCAAGGAGAGAGGTGCGTATAGAGAGGGTGTTTGGGGTCAGACAATATAGAATTCGCTAGTTTCTTACATGACATTATACGTCTATCCACAATTGTGTTAACCAGTTGGTTTAACAAAATCCCACTTCCCCTACTAATAGCTTTTAGTGCCCTACGCAGCAAAGCAAAATCTTTCTTAAGTAGTCCAGGAAAGATTAATGGAGAGCTGTAAAGAGGGATGGTTAGAATACATGAGTTCACAAACTGAGAAAGCAAAGACTGCTTTATACCAGACTGCCTAAACTTCCTAACGTAGAACGTCAAGCGAAACATCTTTCTAGTAACTAGCAAGATGTGAGAGGACCAGAAAAGATCGGAGGAAATACTCAGTCCAAGGTACTTGACATTAGATGGAGTTTCAACCTCTATGCCGTCAATGATAGTGGGACCATGTGAGCTAGCTAGTTGTTGTAGGTCACGTTTTCGTCTGAAAGTGAAATTTACTACCTGGCATTTAGACGGATTCAGGTTAAGACCGTTTGAAGAGGACCACTGACTAATTTCCGAGAGAAAGTTATTTAGTATGGAACAGTCTGACTGAGAGTTGACAGGCATGGAGACAGAGAGGTCATCAGCATACTTGACAAAAGTTGCTACATCAGAATGGGGCAAGTCATGTAAGAAAAAAGAAAACAGAAAAGGAGAATGAACAGCACCTTGAGGAACACCAGCTAAAGTAAGTGAGGTAGTGGAGGACTTTCCATTGTAGACGGTGTACTGCTTCCTATCAGAAAAATAGGAATGCAACCACTTATTTGTCCAGCTTAAGTTACATAGGTAATCGAACTGCATAATACCTGATGTTACATCATTCTGCTATTATTTCCTTGGGCTTCGAATAGAATGTAGGGCTTGGGCAACACATCTCCTTTTGACTCTGTTCATTGCAGTACTTTTAGCTGGTTTCACGAACGCCCATGATCTGTATTCTCTCCACATATGATCTACATGTCACGCTTCAAACAACGTTCAACTTACCGTTCCTCAGTCGGATTTCACTTCACGGCTTAGCACATGATGTTACTTAACGGTCTCTAGTGCATCTCCATTTCGTCCTAAATATCTGCTGGGCAACAGTTCTACTTTACTGCTCCCCGTTAGTCTTTCCTGGGCTACTGAAAAAGGACTAAACCATCCTGAGAAAGATGTTGAAGGTAGTCAGTAGGACTAGTGGTGTAAAACTCAGTCAGCTCGTCACTACATTAGTGGAAAGACATC